ATCTGGACCAGTTCTTCTGTGTTTGGCTGTGTCTCTTTCCTGTCCCGCAACAAAGCCTGTCGAGGCAGATGGCCGCCTGTCCTGAGCCTGGTTCTGCTGGAGGTTTCTTCCTGTTAACAGGGAGTTTTTCCTCTCCACCGTTTGCTCAGGATGGGAGACTGTGATGAAGTGATACAACACAATCTGCTGGCTTCTTCTTTAGATKGTGCTTTTTTTCATGTACAGTGCCCTGAGACAACGCATGTTGTGACTTGGCACTATATAAATAAACTGAATTGAATTGAATTGTTTCTGGGTCATGATGTTTTTGGTACCGAAACAATGCAGGACGTCTTCCACATCACCGGGACTCTCTGGAGACTCAGACTCATGTTGAAGATGTGTTCCAATTCTCAACAAAGCTGGGTGGAACAGTCCTTAAGCACCCTGGGTAAGACACCATCAGGGCTAGGAGACTTTTGGTGYGTTCTAGTTGTCCTGGGAAGTGGWCATTTCCCTKTTCCCATTGGTAGATTTAAACTGGAATGCCCCCTCCAGTGGTAATATTCCACTCGTATAGTGGAAGAAATGCGACTGCCCYAGTTTCCATTTCAAGATGGCGGCTACTCGCAGCTTTAGAAAGTTAACTCCATAACTTAATTATCTTTCTTAATTTTTTTGTGCATCACTCACACAAGTAGTGTGTTTTCTGTGCGATGTTGTACGTATTAAAATCAATGTTTATTTGCATGATGTACGTAGTAGAGCTCTTTTTGTCATTGTTTATATTATAGCAGTGTTGTAGTTAGGTTAGCGGCAGCAATACAATCGCCTGTCGGCTAACTGGACTGCAGRTTCATATGGCTTGTTGAGAAATGACGTCACTACCATTTACCAGTTCCGGGAATATGATGTAAATGGAATGCACCATTTGTTAGTGTGGAGTTTCTGCAACTGACTTCTCACCTGGTCTGCAGTCATGGCAGTCGAGGCTGAGGGAGGCTGAAGGTCAACAGACGATCATGCTATGCTGCTCAAGCTGGAAACGTACTCCCTGCGAACTGCCGACGTCGGCACAGGTTGTCGCAGTTTCATGACGAAAATTACGTCACCGGGCTTCGCAGCGTCGGCTCGGCAGCCCCTTTTGGCACAACCCGCCGGCAGAACTTTTTAGCCCCCTCCCAATGTGTGATTGGTCTGAAGTTCGTGGGCGTGTTTGTTTGTGCTGAAACTGAAAGTGCTCGGACACACACACAAAAAAAAACTTGCTTATAGAGCCGACTGTTGAAGCAGAGTTTTATAAAGATAGTCAAACAGAGAAAAACTCATGGCGTTTTGGTTTGTGCTGAAAGCGTTATAGACGCTGCATTTACTTCAACCAGTCTGTAAAAAAGGGGGAAAACCGACTCGCTCCCAGAGCGACTGTTACCAGGAAGCAGAGTTTTATAAAGATAGTCAAACCGTGAAAAACTCATGAATGGAGATTAAACAGATGTTGTGCATTGAGGAATCTGACTACGGATGGGTACCTTTGGCATTTGAATCGATTTGGTACCAATATCCGGTACCTGGGAATCAGTACCGGTACTTAATGGTACCGATTTTTGGTACTTTGTGTGTGTTGTTTTTTTTTTATAAGAAACTTTTATTTTTTTAACATATTTCTCAATATATAAAATTAACAAATATCAAGACAACATCCAACTCTTTGTATTGTAACATCAGTTTTTTAAAGGGGACCTATTATGCAAAGTTCACTTTTTTAAAAAATTTTTTAACTCAACTTTGGGTATGTACTTCTTAAAAAACAGTCCTGGGACCAAAAAATGCACCCAGGGGCATATTTACTGTAAGTAAATGTATTTTTAATGTATATTAACGACAAGTTTTATACTTCCGTCATTTTGTGATGTCACAAGCCGTACGACAACCCACTGGAATCTGCGTTCAGCCCCTTACCTAGCAACCCCTGGGTGAAGCTCCACCTCTTCCGTATAAAAAGCCGCACGGTGTACTTGTGCAATGCGCAGCTAAATTTCATAACAAGTCTCCAATAGGGCAATGGGTAGAGTGTTGGGCCAGAGAGCAGGAGACCAGGGTTCAAGACCAGCATGGACACAATTAAAATTTTTTTATTTTCATTCGTTATGAACACGWTTTCTCATGTACCACTATTGTTTAGCTTATTAAAGCCTTGTCAAAGCCTATTTGTTCGAATTTCTGAGGTATTTTCACCACTGCTGCTCCCTTGCATGCAGAGTGAGTGCAGAGCAGARGAGGAGGAGTAGGAGGGAAAAAAAGAAGCTCCGACCACGACTCTGCCTCTGGGTCTCATATGGTTGTACAACGGAGCTTCTGCTATTATTAGCCATGCTAACGTAAACRTTGGCTTTAGAGRGCAGAGTTAATGTCWACAGATTTTTGGAGGGCATTATCAACAAAGCTCATTAACATAAACAGCTCTTCTGAACRGAAGTCAGAGCAGGCAGAACTAGAAAATGGGAAATTTTATTATCTGAAAATTATTTTGTGCATTAAATTGAATGAACATGGTCTGGATAGCCCACAGACATACCATAAAAAATTCTAGGACCCATAATTGGTCTCCTTTAACCAATTTCTTTAAGGTGAAAACTCTTGAAAAAAACAAGACTGTTTTGTCTTATTGCACAAATTAAAATCCAGCTCCATGTATTTCTATTGATGTCATTTCCCCGCTAGAAAAATTGTGTGATAGAGGTCCATGGAAGGCAAATAAGTTTAAATCAAATAAGCAAAAGAGGATTGAGTTAAAATAAATAAAAGGTATTCAAGCTATGTTTTGAGCATCCAAAAAGCGCCCAACGCTTTAAAGCTGGCTGCTTGTGCTTCTTCAGGTCAGATGTGTTCAGACTGTCGGCAAGCACCTCTGTTGTTTTCCTCTGTCGGTCTCTGTTTAACGGCGGATGGAATAAAGAAAGTGGCGGTACTTTATTTTCTTTGAGCAAGTGAACRTCGTGCTCACAAGATAATTAATCCACCAGATAATTCAGAGGCGGTCTGTTCGGCGTGTTGTACTCCAGGAGCAGCGAGCTTCAAGACTCGTTTTCAAGCTAAGTACAGACTGAGCTCTGTTTACTGAACCAGCGGCTGCTGACGTCATGATGGTGCGTTCAGGACAAGCATGGAAAACTCACCACTCTTACACCAATACGGTTGCATAGATGCGTTTGGGTACCGAAACATGGTACCATTTGATTTTACATGAATAGGTTCTCAGAAGTACCGACAGAATTCGGTCTGTACTTTAAAAAGTATCGAATTCGGTACCCATCCCTAAATCTGACTGACAAAAACTGTGGAGTTTTAACCAGGTCAGATGTGGATAAATACGTCAGGTGAGTGACGACTTTTTTTTTCTGCATTGTCTGCTGTTGCGTGAAGAAACTCCATGCAGTGACGTATGTTTCAGCAGGTGGGGTTTCCCAGGAGCTCGGCGCGGTGTGTCTCTGGAGCTATGAAAGTTGTGTGCGAAAACAACTGCCGAACAACCACGTGACTGCGTGTCRACTCATCCGCATYGGAGGGAGTATGTTTCCAGCTTGAGACAGCAGTTGAGGGTCATTTGAAGAGGTCTGGTGGTGGGGGATGGGTCCTGCTGTCTCAAATCKGTTGAAAAACAGATTTAGCTGATTGGCCCTGTCCAYGTTGCCCTCCATTCCKCTTATGTTSCTGGACCCAAAGCCGGTGATTGTCCTTATTCCACTCCAGACCTCCCTCATGCTGTTATGCTGGAGTTTACACTCCAGYTTTCTTTTATAAACGTTCCTTGCTTTTAATTGTGTATAAACATTTTTGATGGCTGAAAATGATCTATATTGCATTATATCAGCAGCTGTTAAGTTAGAGCTCTGACAAACACTGGGTTGTACCGTAATATTCTGCAAGTAGAATCTACATTTGTTGCACTAACAATTGTTTACTGATTGTGTTCATTAAATTTGTTGAGTCTGCCAGCAGCTGTCATTATGTATTGCTGAACAGGTGATCTAGAATTATTGCTTTACAACAGCTTAGTACAGGCAAAGTACATAAGAATGTATGGAATACATCTTTTGCCAGCAGGAACTGAATTTGAMTTGCTCAGATTGAATGTGAATGTGCATAATTTGAAATTGAATGCRCTGATGTGAAAATGAATTTCACTAAATRGAAACTGAATTTAATGGTTTGAATTTGAATTAATTTGCTTTCAAACTGTATTTTGGTCTATTAAAAAATTCAATTCAATRCAATTCAGYTTATTTATATAGCGCCAAGTCACACAACATACATTGTCTCAGGGCACACTGCACATAAAAAAGAACAATCTAAAGAAGAAGCCAACAGACTGCRTTGAATCCCTTCATCACAGTCTCCCAAAAATTCAGTTTGACTGCTTTCTGTTACATTACAGAAGGAAAGCTTTACCAAAGTAAAATGTAAATCTGTCGATCTGTTTTTGATTACTCTGGCTGGCTTTCTCAAGAGCCYGGATGTCAGACACAAAAATCTGAATTTTGGAMCTRAACTGAAATTGAAYTATGGAACTGAAAGTGAAAGTAGTCAAACTTTTATAGTCCAAAATACAGTTTCAAAGCAAAGTMATTCAAATTCAAATCATTAAATCCAGTTTCAATTTCGTGAAATWAATTTTCAAACCAATGCATTCAATTTCAAATTATGCACATAACGATTCAATCTGAGCAACTCAAATTCAGTTCCTGCTGGCACAAGTTTTATCCCATACTTATGTGTGAAATGTTATTCCTTGTRCTTTTGTCTGTGAATTTTGATATGGGCTACAGTTTTATAGCAAAACATTCAGTTCCTGATGTGTCAATCTTAATTTTCTTGTTCTCTGAACACGTATACATCTGGTTCATATAGATCCATAGTCAACACATAGCAATGGTGGCATCTGTGCATGCCTCAAACCATGTGACGTTCAATCCATATATATAATAATGGTCAGCACCTGGAGAAGGTGCCGTTTTATGTACCTGTGACCACCTGGGTGGGGTTGACCGCTGTAACAGTAACGTTTCCTTGCTGCAGGGCTGATGCAGGCACTACAATCTGACCCTGGGGACTGATAGTGCCTGAGATAGAGCTGGGGGTCTGCAGATAACAGAATGCACACACAAAACCTCTTGTCACTTATTAGCTTGCTTTGATGAGGTTTATACTAAAGTGTGTTGTGGTTCTGRCGTCAGTCTACCAGCACAGCACACCTGAGTCTTGGTGGGTGAGAAGTTCTGTGGCTGTCCCTGTACGGGGGAGTACGGACTTCCTGGCTCTCCACTCAGCAGGGTCTCACTGTTCATCTTTGTCTTCAGGCAGGCGATGTAGCGGCTACAGAAGTCCTTACACAAGTCGCTCACCTTCTCCAGCTCCAGCAGGTGGATCCGCAGTACCTGGATGGCTTTCACCATCTCCACATAAGAACAAAAAAAGGTCAGTGACAGATGGGAGACCTTTTCCATCAACTGTCCTGGCCTGGCTTTTGTGGTGAAGAAACATTCACAAACACACACTAACAATCCTATTATGTTTGGTGTCTAATTTGAATCTGCTTCCTTCAGAAGTCCAGCACTTATGTAAAATCAGATAGAGGGAAAGTATCACAGAATCGTTTTAATTTTTTCTTCTCAAGCACTCAATCAGGAAATAAATATTCTGGATTTTTAACAAGCAACTGTTGCAAAAAAAGACAATCAGACTTGAGTAATTCGATTGCAAAAAATCCTTGACGCACATTATCAGCCTGAAGCTTCATTAAAAATAGGAACCGTTATAAACTATTCAGCGCACTTTTGTCTGGCCGGAATGTTATTTGTGTTGCTCAACGATAGCGTTTCCACTAACAGCTACACTGTTGATGTGTGTATCTTAAGTGCTATTTTGTAGCTATGGAGGGAGATAAAGAGTCCCTGATCAAAGTGCCCAGAAAATGACAGAAACTGACAGAAGTGTGGGAACCTGATTGTTGTCAAACTGTAAAAATAATGCGTTAGTCCTGTATAGCACTTTTTGGGACTCGTCAAGATGCTTTACAACTTCATTCATCATTCAGATTTGCACTCACATATTCACACACTGATGATGTTAAATTACATTTTAGCCACAGGTGCCCAGGGGCATACTGACAGAGGCAGGGCTGCCATACTGCACTGCCCCACTGACCACCAACAGCAAGCGAGGCAAGTGAGACGGCTTGAACTGTCTTCAAAATAAAAGCTCTGGGTAGCTCATAAGTTATTGAAGGAAATTGAATGCTTTGGAGGACTCAACATGTGTTCAAATGGGTGAGAAGGCTGAGAGAAGAGATCGACATGGAGAGGAGATGGAAGCTCCAGTAAGGAGAAGAATGCATTTTTCTGTAATTCTGGCCATTCATTTCATGCAGTTGCTGAATGCAATTCCAGGGTATGTAAAGAAATTCTGAAGTTAAATCTAATACCTTTTAATACCTTTTAATACCATCCCAATGTTTTTTAATACCAACACGACTTCAAGTTGAAACTGTAGCGGCAACTGCTTCAACCTATTATTAAAGTTACTGGATACATAGTTATTTCTTTGCCTTAATGAAACACTGATCTATATACAATTATTTGTTATTTAACCCTAAATTCAAGGCAAGTGCTTTCATTATGTGTAGGAAGAGCATTGCTATCAGCAACAGGTCGTCTGCTCTCATTTGTCCCAGGAACTCAGAACCAAAACATCCTGATGTCACACAACCATCCTCTAAATAACATCTGTGTGTGTCCATCTGTTTTTTAAACGTATTAAAACTTCTGTTGAACATGAGAATGAACCCCACCACCACTACACAGTTTTACCCTCACAATCACCATCTTTTATCTGCGTTTACATCGACAATACCAGCTAAAGAACAACTGTAAACGATTCAATCAACTTCTTTTAAAAAAATCAGTTTTCAATTTTTTCATACTGAGCAG